GTCTGTGTAGATAGAGTGGTAAAAGAACTGGATGCTGCCTGAAACTTGGGTGGGTTAATTGCATTATGATTTCACTGTGGATCTCTTATACAACCTGGCTTATGTACACAGAAACAAGTCACATACAGAGGTAAAACCTCTGTACCATGTCCAAAGTTCATTGTTGTCTTTCCCCTGGCTCTGTGAAAGAGGCAAGGTGTTCCTGAGCACAGGAGGATTTCTTATGTGTCTTGTTCCAGATGGTGTTTGTGCTGAATTTTCTGGTAAATGCCCAATCACTCTCTCCCAGTCTCGGTGTTTTGTATGTCTTTCCACCTCTGCAATATTTACTTCATGCTAGTACGGTGAGCAAAGGCAAATATGTCTGTCTGATGAGAAGCAGAGGCTTCACTTTTAGATGGTCACCTCTTTGAAATATGGAAAAAAGATCAGGGAGTTTGAAACCACTCTGGCTCTCTAAAAGAATGCCTAACAGAATGTGAAAGTCTAAGTACTCAAAATTACTGCACAGATGTATTTGTGAAAGAAATTGCACGTAAGTTCTTCACTTCCAAATAAAGTTCTTGAGAGGTCTAGCAAGCAGGATTTAGATGAAGCAGCTCACAGAGGATACAGCACTTTCACACCTAAGTGTGACAACCCAGTACTTAAAGCTTTACTTGATGTCCATATCTGTAATCCACAGAACATGAGTACCCTAGGCTGTAGCACTCCTCCATGCATGCCAGAATGCTCTCTTGGAGAGCCAAATTTCTTTCAGGTCCTTTGTAAAATTTGTATGTCAGTRTGTTGATTCAGTTCCTTTGTTCAGCTGTTTTGGTGTTTTGCTGGGGTCTGAGACCGAAGTGCGTGCTTTGACCATACTGGCTTGCCTTATTGTAGYGCCTTTATTGTTGCATTTATTTATCTATGTGGGCTGCTTTTTGGCTGGCTACCCTCTCCTTTCAGCTGGATATAGAAAAATGGGTTGAGAGTTAATATTTCTCCTGGAGTTTAGCACAAAACCTTAGGCTTGATGTTGCRGGACTGGGTAGTGGCAAAGGACTGTGTCTGTGTATGTGCCAGAGTTGAAATTCTCTTAGAATCTACCTTAGCATACTCAKACAACTACATATATGCATCAATACACTCTCATGTCTTTTAATTCTAAAGGGATTACTGCTGTTGCTATAGTAATATCTGAAATACTTTTTGTGAGCCAGGGACTAGCTCAGCTTATGGAAAGAAAACAATATTTTCATACAAGTTCCTGTCAAGGAAGAAGTGTTGTTTCACCTCAATTGACAAAATAAGTGCTGGTTAAAAAACCCCTAATTGCCTAGAGGTTATGGCATGTCAGTTATAATCCAAAAAGAAATACATCCTCAGCATTTTTTTGTTCTTGGCTGTTACTCTTGCTTTTCTTATATTTTTTTTTTATGAATTAGTACCTCTGACAAGTTGACTCAAATATACGTCTGTGGTTTGCTCTTTTTTCCTTTTCTATTGTTTAGCCAGCTTCTAACTCAGTGCAGCACTAAGACATTTCATTCTCTGGATCTTGAAAGATATTCTCAAATATGCTGATTCTGACTCAAAAAAAAATTTCATTGGATTTTTTTGTGGGTAGACTCACATACTGTTTGTATTGCTCAGAGTACTCACTGCTCTAATAGGTAGTTCATGAAACAGTACTCCGGACCTAGCAGGAGGTGGTTTCTGTCCTGCTCACTTGACCTACCTCCATCAGGGAATCTGCTAATTGTTTAATGAGTGTTATTTACAGCTCTGCTGTTTGAGTCTAAGACAGAGTAACCCTATTGGAAGGTAACACTAGTAGGGCAATTTCCTAGGCCTCTTTTAAGGACAGCCTATTCTCAAGGATTATTTTCTAGTCCTCAAGAAAACTGTAACAGTAACAAGTGTTTAAACTGSAGTGAATTTAATTCTTCTATATTATCTAATAATGAGGGGCAGAGTAGGACTTTTCATCCTGGTAATATCTGTATTTAATGACTGAAGCTAAAAAAAAAATACCAGAAAAAGAAAGATATTTCTTTTTCCATATTGTGCCATTAATTCTTACAATGAGGCAAATTCCCAGTGAATAGTTATACAGTGACAAGATACAGAAGAAGAGCTATCAAATAGCCAAACAGTGTTAACACACAGAAGTATGCAACTGATGGCTGTGAAGATGGGGAAAATGTAGGCAGGCTTTTCCTGTGTGGGAATTCTATCCAGCTATACTTGAGAGAGTAGAACAGACTCTTTAAGGTCTTGTCTCCTCTGTCAGATCACAGCAAAATCCTTTCAACACATCCACTGGAATGTTCCCCAAATGCTCTTTGAAAGATTAGTAATCAGCTCATAATCTTCCTAATTCTTGCTACAAAGACACCTACAGTCAAATGGATAGAAACTAGAGCTGGCTGAGAGCTGCTGCAGGCTTCTCAGAGGATTAATACCTATTAGTTCTTGTTAACTTTCCTTCAGAAGAGGTGGGCTTGGTTTTGTTTATTTTTTACAAATTGAAAACCGTAAAAGGAATTTACAATTCAAATTTAATGTTTCCATTTCAAATGAGAAGGGGAGGAATTATTAAACTTGATTAAAGCCAGCTGGGGTGGGGCTTTGAGATATCCTCTTGGACTATTATTACAATGACTTTAGGAAAGGCATACACTGGAGAATGCAAATTGATGATTTACACTGTAAATGATCAAGCAAAACTCAATAATGGCTGTCATTCACAGGGCTTGTATTCAGACTTCAGTAGCAATTTTCATGCCTTAGCTACCTACAATTTGATGTAGATTTCTCTTCCACAATTATTTTAGTAGACATCTTTGTCCTGACTGGAGAAAGGCCATTGATTTATACAGTCCTAAATCTGCCCAAGAGTAAAAATGAACTAAAGGACTTGGTGGGGAAGAAAAAAATACAATAATAGAAATGAAAACTATCAAGAGCTTATTTGGAAAACAAGGTGATGAACTAGACCTTGATACTGAGTATGTTAACTGAACCTCTGACTCATGCAGCTGCATCTTCCACACACAGAATAACTACTCATGACTAAAAATGCTGCACATTAGTGTGATTTCCCCAACCTAACTTCAGAAGTGCCGGTCCTATAGTTCCACTAACAGTTTCTACGAGAATGTAAGGGATCATGCCAAGTTTTTATTCTCTGTAGCTTGACCCCGCAGTGCCTAACTGCTTAGATTGTGGCTTCTACAGAATGGCTTAACTGGTTCTCATCCAGATCTCATGTATTAGTTATCCTACTCATATACTATGGCTCCCACAGTATCCTGTTAAATAATTATAGTGGTTAAAAACTGATTTTAAAATGGAGTTAGTATGGTGCTCTAAGCTAAAGGATACCTGAAAGGTTTTGCCTCTGAAGATGAAAAATAGAAAGGGAATCATGTCTTCAAAGGAGAATGATAACTTGCAGAATAATTCTTGTGAACAGCATAAAAAAAGGTTTCAGGTGGAGCTGACGTGGGCAGATATGACTGTGCTGTGAGTCAAATACAAAGCATGTATGAGCCTGTTTGCTGCTTTTGCTCAACTGGTATATTTCATGTGCTTCATTCCAATCCTGGGAAAATATTAATATCACATCTTCCAACAAGTTGCCAGTGAAGAAACTAATTCAAGTGCAACATGAGTATGGGAAAACTGTGTCCCTGGTACCCTAACAAAAAAAGATTGAATTTTGCAGGAAAAAATGAACATATCCATGTTAGGTTCCCCCTTCCCCTTAGCTGAATTGGATGTATGCAGTGTATGTCAGTTTAGTAGGGACAGTTGTTAGTCCACACTGAAAGCCTGATTCTTAAATGGAAGGACATGGGGTAGATATAGCATGTATTCCGAAACCTTGCAAAAAGCTCTTAGACTATATCTGCCTCCTTGCTAGCTGAATCTGTTCAATTATCTTTCTTTCTTAATCTCTCTCTGGTTCTAATAAAATCCAGAGTATCAAAACGATATGTATTTTTTAACAAGAGCTGTGACAAAGAACTAACCAGTAGGAAGTGGGCATCATGTTACCTGCCTTTCAGTAGGCATTGACCTCAGCAGGCAGAATACAGAAAAGCGAAAATTGATAGATTTTAAGCCAAGTGCATTATGATACTGTGAATTAAACACAGTAGGCATTGACCTCAGCAGGCAGAATACAGAAAAGCGAAAATTGATAGTTTTTAAGCCAAGTGCATTATGATACTGTGAATTAAACAGAGGACAAGGCAGGGTGGCGGACTCTTAAGTAACTGTTCTTGGACAGCTGGCTGCTTTGTGAACTTTCTTGAAGAGCGATAGCCAGCGTAATGATGAAGCTGTTCTTCCACAGAGCCTGGCCACTGGGAGCTGAAGGACAGTAGGAAGTTTCTCCCGGACATCTGATACTGCATAMCTGTAGCTGAGTGCCAGCATCGGAGGGCCGGCTCTGCACGCAGGGCTACCCGAGGCCCCCCGAGACACGAGCAAAGCCCGCGCTCTGGCGGGGCGGCAGGTCCCGGCACGGAGCACCAGGGCGACAGCGCTGGTTCAGGTGCGCTGAACCGGCCCGGGCTGCCGCCCAGGGAACCCAGGAACTGGAGGACACCGCGGGAACGGCTGCGGAAAGCTTTGCGGCACCTCTGCCGGCACGGCCGGTCACGGAACCGCAGCGTGGATGGAGGTGAGGCTGCAGGACGGAGGAAGGACAGGGGCCTCGGCACGACTTTGGGACGAGGCTCCTCTTGCTCCGACCCGTCCATCCGCACCCTCGGACCGCCCGGGGGGCTCAGGACAGCCCCGGCGAAAGGCAGCGCGGGCGGCGCGGCGGGGCGGGCGCCAAGGGCCGGCGGGGTGAGACCGGCGGGGGCGGGTCCTGCCATGCAAACGAGGGGGCGCGGCCCTGGAGCCGCGGGGCGGCCGGGGCGGGAGGAGGTGGC